TAAATATAGATATTTTACTGGTTATGTTTATACTTAAATACACAGTTTTAAAGAACATTACTTAAAAGATCTGCACATCATCCAAAATCATCTGAAGGCTCCCACATAGTAGACTGGATAAGTCTTCGGGGAAGGCTGCAATGAAAGGAAGGTATACTTCCTGCTACCTGGGGTTTCAAGAATCTTAACTTAGAAACTACCCCTGGGTCCACAGCAGTTTGTAATTCAAGGACAAATTATTGAAAGCTGATCCTATAATCACCTAATATTAAAAGCCAGCATTTGTTGAGCACTTACTATATGCCTATGTGCTTTTCATACTTTTGAGTCTTATTTTCTAATTTCGTAAAGTTACTATTAGAGTAGATCACTTTACCAATGAAATCTATATTTATAATCTTAGGCCAAAATGAACTCCTACAAACCATTTTTCTTGGAGAAAAAAATAGCCTCAGGCTATAGCACAAGGTACTAAAGTGATATGGAGATTAAAGATGTGTCCTAGGATTTCATCACTGTGGATCAATAACCCAAAAGATTTAAAGACAAAAGAATCTACTTGGAGGTCAGTGTTCTTACACTGGGAGATGTATGCGTTAAAGGTATTCCCTTTTGAATCGTCATCTCCTTTCCTTTCCTTCAGAGTTGTCCCTACCACCAAAATAAACAACAACAAAAATGCACAGATTTAAAATAAATGATTTGTAAACTTGGATGATACAAGTTATCATGCTGCATGGAGAACGACTCCGACTCCCATGTCTGATCGGGTGCGTTATGCTTGCATTTTACCCCTGTTGTGGTTTCCTGTCAGTCTGTGAGCTTTGGGGAGCCTTTGAAAAGACCTTCCTGATTGAGTCTCAGAAATTTCAGGAAGTACCAATATCAGATGGCTGTCATGCAGTTACTTACTCTCTAAACTTTACCCACCTCTTCCTATGTGTGAGCTTTGGATGGGTCTTCCTCCTCCTCAAAAAAACACTCCACATATCCTGGGACATTAGCTTTCAAATCTAATGTCAGTCATGGTCCAAATGGATGATTCTCAAATTAATGGGCATCAGAATTTCCCCAGGGAGGCTGCCCCACCTAACCCTACTAAATTAAAGCCTACCAAGTGGGAGCCTTAAGAATCTAGCACATCAAAGCTTTGAGAACCACCAATTTGGTTTAATCCCCTCATTTTCTAAAAAGGGAAACTGAGGCCCAAAGAAGCGAACTGAGTGACTCATCCAAGAGCCAGCCATCTGGGAGCCAGGCCTAGAATTGTTCTCTACCACTTCTCCTGGGGAGAACAGATCCTCAGGACACTTAGAAACCTGTCTTCACCTGCCAGTTTATTTAGACCAAGATCACTTTCCTTGCAAAGAAATCTTCCTACTTCTCCCCGCTAAACAGCAGAGGAGCACCATGAGGTGTCATCAGAAACCCAAAATCGTTTGTGACCAGTATCTAGGAACCTAGAGTTTGATGTGCTCTCCAGAAGCAAAACTAGTGAAATCCAACCTGTCTAGGGTGAGATCCACCATGTGAAGAGAGGCCGTGAAGAGTGCTGTCAAGAACACAGGCTTCTGTGCAATTCCGGGCTCAAGTCCACTTATGCCATTTCAGTTTTGTCATCTGCACGACAGAAACAAAATTACTGCAGTATCAACTTCCCAGGGTGATATGGAAAACGAAATCATTAATCATTTTGTTGGTGTTTCCAGCCAGGCCCTCCTTATGAAACAGCTCTCCTAGACTTCCAATTGAACCATAACGATCACCAAAGCATGTAGCGTCATAACAAAGAGCGAGCAACTGAAAGAACTGGTAAAGGGTCCCACCACCATAGTATCTGTTTCTAAACACTTCGCAACCAGTTGAGCCCATCAACACTTCAGCACTGGGTGTCATGCACCGAAGCAGGGGACTGATGCGTGAAGCAGCAGGCAATTTGTGCCTACCAGAATAGCTGACTGGCTGTTGGTTGCAGCCAAGCTAAGGCCCAACGCAGGATTTGCCCGGATCCCCTCTCTTGCAGCAAGATTATCTTACCATTATCCACCCTCCACACTCTGCCGACTTTGAAAGTAAATTTTATGATTTCCCATTTCCCAAGGTTGGTCTATTGACCGAAGACAAGTGGATAGTTAATTGACACGCTTAAAAAGAAGCCAGCCAATTTGTTCCGCTGTGGCCCAAGTTGTTCTAGGTCAACACAGCTGGAGTGTCCTGCTATCAGGGTAGTTAGAGCTGCTGTCAGCTGGAGCATACTGGGTAGTTCGGTAGCCTGAGACAAAGTGCAATATATTTGTACATGATTTGCCTTCTCAGGGTCAAGAAACACCAGGCTTGTCTCATGAGGTAACGCCCTCTTCTACAACAGGTGTGAGCTCCCTGCCGGAGGAGGAGGAGATGGGTTGTTTTCTGAGCCGCTCTGGCCAGAGACAGAATCCCTAGTTTGCCTGGCACCTGGGAGGCAAATGCTCCATCCACCTGGGCGCCTGTCTCCCAGGCTGTGCCTCCAGCGCCCTCTATAGGACATTGCCAAGAACTGGATGCAGGAAGCTAGGACAAAACCCTCAAATTCACACATTTATCTGGGACTGAGGGGGGACTTTCAGCGCTAAAACTGGGAAAGTCCCGGGCAAGCTGAGACAAGCTGGCCACCCTACTAACTGAAAGGGGAATCCTATTAACTAAAGGGGGATCTAAAGCTGGGTGTAGCGGATACAGACCCTGCACTATTAAACCACCGTCACTTCTTGGTTGAGATCAGGGAATGGGGAGGAGAGAGCATGGACCAGAAGTCTAAGGAGGGAGGGGCAGGAGCTATCTGGGGGGTTGGAAGTGAGCTATTGAATAAAAGAACCGTTTGGCCTGAGTCAAAGCCCCTCAGCCCTAAAGCAAAGCAATGTGTCAGATTCCACAGCAGGCTGGGGGAAGAGCTGGGATTGGTCATTTACCTTTTTTCCTTGTGAGTTGTGAATCATTCAACTTGTGTCCCTTCAACAACTAATTAACACCTATGATATGCCAAGAACCCTCCTGAAGTACCAGCAAGAAGGATTCAGTATGCCCTGGCCCCTGCCTTTCACCTGGTAGAGGAGTTGTCTATACAGGTCAGAGTCCAGTGGATGAACACCAGCATGGATGAGAAACTTTGCACAAATGTGCCCTGGAAAATGCCCTTACCCTACTGAGCTCCTTATGGGCACCTAAGTACAGCAAGAACCACTTGGCAGGAATCAGGCCCAGGGCCTGGGTACCAGGAGCATATGAGGGACAGCTGGAGTCACTTGAGCCCTGCTAGATCCCCCAAAGCTAGCCCACCTCCTCTGCCTGGCCCCAGAAATTGACAGAGCCCAGAAAAGACAAGTGAACACCCTGGTGGAAGTGTGAAAGAAACAATCAAATTTCCAGCCACAAGAGGTATTTTGTGTGTTATCCATGATGGGAATGATCAGGTAGCAGCACATGCTCTCAGATTAGATTCTTTCAGAAGGTAAATGTATATTGGGATCGTATCACGTACAATTAAATACATGTCTGGACAAGGACTGGAAGGGAAACTGGATCCAGACAGAAACTGGATCCAGTGTGTTTGTGGTGAGATCAGGGGTGGTCTTTTATTCTCCTCTTTTCAAAACTGGGTTTAATAAAGTTATGTTATTTTATAATAAACAAGGACAAATATCTTTAATGTTATAAAGTTCACACGTCCTACATGCTAATGAAAAATGAAGTTAAAAGAAAAAACCCCCACGACTGCTCTGAATTAGACCAGTTACAAAAAAAAAGGACAGTCCTAGATGAACACATTTCAAGTTCTCCAGGAAGAGAAGAAACAAAAGTTTGCACAGGGGAATTAATTCTCTTTCAACTCATGGGGCTTAATTATTTTGTTCATCTTCCCACCCTAACTGGTGCCAGAGCTGGCGTTGGAACACCCAGGCCCCAAGTGAAGACGCCGGCTTTGCCAAGCTGCCCTTAGGCAGGCTGGGAGATGTAACGAGAGGCTGGTGTCCTTCCAAAAGATGGGTCTTTGCAGGGTAACAAATCAAGCTGCCATCAAAATGAAGAGATAGAAGCTGATTCGACAGCTGATTCGCCAGACTGAGCCTCGGCGTCCTAGAGCACTGGGGTGTGTGTGGATGACCAAGAAGGCTCAGAGGCCCCCGGGACAGGTTCCCAGCTGCTGAGGACCCAGCTCTGGGGATCAGAGGTGGGTCCAGTGCCACCCCCTCACACGCCTCCCTGTGTCCCCCCACCCCCTCTCCGTGGAACTTCAGAAAAGGCTTAGGATTGTTTATGTAAATTTTAAACAGGATGCTTCCTGTTCATCCAGTTTCAATGCTGCAGGGAAACAGCAAAGCCCCGTCACATTTTGTTCTCCACCCAGCACCTATCCCAGGACCCAGAGCTTCCTCCACCCCCAAGTCCTGGCCTGGATTACGGACAAAGAAGTAGGCATTAGCTTGTAGGAAATTTGAATCGTTGTTGAGTCAACTCTGTACCAGAGCTTTATCCATTTGCAAACATGGTTCTGGGGTCCCAGGTGGGCACCCTGAGAGGTCGCCTAGTACCTTTGCTCCTTGCCATTCACCCCACTCTCTGTACCCTAGAAAGACAGAAGAAACTGGAATCTACCTGGGTAGAACCTTCCTGGCCTCACCTGAAAACCAACCAACCCCCTCCCAAGCCCCTAGGCCAGGCAAATTCCTGCAGTGCCAGGGCTGGGTTTGCAAACGTTTCTGCCCTCTTCCTCCTGTCTCAGACCAGCAAAGGGCTCTGTTACCTCCAGTGGCCCTGGCTGGTGTCCCTTCGAGCCTGGATCCTGACCCTGATGAGATCTCAGCTCTCTCAGATCCAGGGGGAGGATTTGCTATGAAATTTCCTTCCCAGCCTTGTCCCCAGTCCCTTCCTCTGACATAGACAAAAAGAGGCCGCCTCTTCTCCAGAAAAGAAGATGGTAGCTGAGGCGCCAGTGATGGATCTTTTTCACGTGTTTATCCAGTACTTACTGACAGCTTAATAGATAGTCGGGTGATAGGGCACACTCAGAGATAAAGGGGACCTGGGCGTAGGCCCAGAGAAGTGGAATCTTGGAGACAGAGGAGAGAGGTGTCTCCGGCTGGGGTCACATGCTTGGTCGCTGAGCTAGAGGAGCTCAGAGGAGGGACATAGCAAACCTTGGAGTGCAAAGGGCAGAGGGCTCCCTGCACGATGACCCTCATGCTTCTCCGTTGGGCACTTTGGTTTGTAGTCCAGTGGGAATCCCCTGTAGCCCTGTATTTTGATCTCTGTCAAACAAAGGGAAGAATAACCCGTTTCTGGGGCGCCTGGGTGGCTCAGTTGGTTAAGCGTCCGACTTCGGCTCAGGTCATGATCTCACGGTTTTTGGGTTCAAGCCTCGCATCAGGCTCTGTGCTGACAGCTAGCTCAGAGCCTGGAGTCTGTTTCAGATTCTGTGTCTCCTTCTCTTTCTGACCCTCCCCTACTCACACACACTCTCTCTCTCTCTCTCTCTCTCTCTCAGAAATAAAGAAAACATTAAAAAAAAAAAAAAGAACAATCCCTTTACCCCTCGAAACCCTGATCTCCACCCTCTCCTCCAGCTCCAAGCTCCCAAGCCCCAAACAAGCCAAAACCCACAAGAGACAAGAGAGGGCCACCATGATGTGCCCTCCCCAGCAAGCACCCTGCCCATCCGCCATGTCCCAAGCCTTTATTCTCAGTTCAACTAAGCCACACTAGGGAGTGTGGCAATGGGAATGGGACCATCTGAACTGCAAACACTCTGGCCACTTTGGAACTTCATGCTTGCCCTGTCATGCATTGCTGATTTTCAGCTCTTGGGACCAGGGGCCACTGGGTCCAGACACTTTGCCCTGGGACTTGGCATCAGGGGGTTCCAACATGAGGTTGCCTCAGTCATCTCTAGCACTTCGCTCCCCCACCCCAACCCCTCTATTTAACCCTCGTGTTTGTGTGCACATCTGTCTGCACCAGGCGACTGAAGACTCTTGGAGAGCAGGGGCTTCATCCATGGGCCTCCTTATTCTCCCCACCTTCCCATCAGCCTATTGCGTATATCAGGTTGTCAGTGAAGTCTACCAAAGCAACAAGAAAGTCTGGAGGCATGCCTACTCTGGGGAAGTCTCCCCTCCTTTGGGAGCCGATATTGCAATTAGGAGCTCTCAAAGTCCCAGGGCTTTGGGGTGGGGACGGTCCCCAGCATCCTGGAGAGTCCGCAGCTGGGAGCGATGAGCAGATGGTGCCTTGGGGCTGGGAAGCACAGCTCATCTGTCTTCCGTGGCCAAATGGCTCCACCCGGAGGACAGTCGGCTGGGATCCCTATCTACACAGACCTTTCTCCACCCAGTATGGATGAGCTTTCCTGAAGAAACTCAGAAGCCCCAGCACCTCTCCAGAGTAGCTCTGAAGAATTACCTCTTTTTCCTGGAATAGCCAGTGTCCAGCCCTTGCCTCCAGCCCCAGGAGTGTTTCCTATCTGCAAATGAGAGGGAAATTGGGGCAGCTCAGAATTCTGCCTCCCATCTTGGGGAAACTCTGAGAACCCAAATGAGGCAATCCACGGATGGGCACAAGCTACTAAAAAGTACAAGGCTCTGCTCAAACCCAAGGGGGTTTTCGGTTGTTGTCTTCAGGGCAAGAGGCGCTGTAAGAAAATTCTCCCCTCCTGTTTTCACTTCCTCTTCTCTCTCTTTACCCTGGGAAGGGGAAAATCCTGTGAAGATTTGCAGCTGATGTATAAAAACACCAAAACAAAATTCTAGTGGCATTTTAACAGTATCTTCAGGGTGGCAGCCACGTGACTGGGTTCTGACGTCCAGATTCAAAGCCCAAAAGAATCACGAGACCAAAACAAATTGTGTGACTGGTAATGGCTCTGGTCCAATGCACCACCGTATTATCAAAGCCTGGACATGGATGCCTCTAAATGATCCCCACATTGTTACCATCTTCAGGCAACTCTGTGGAAGACATTGTCTCTGGGTTATGCTAGAGTCCATGGACCTACCACCCACTGGTCCCCAGTGAGGGCCACGTGGTATTTCAAAGGCACAGAGAACCCAGAAATACACAATCCTACCAAGCCTGCTCTCCCTCCCACAAGAAGTTCCCAAGGAAGCCAGACCAAGGAGCAGCAGCTACATGAGAGTCACAGTCCCGTAGCCATACCAGCACTGATAATGTCACAAAGCTCTGAGAGCTGTTCTTGCATTTACTGGGATTAATAGTAACACATATCTGTGCTATACATTTACTATTGTGCTGGGCCTGGGGGTGAACAAAGCTGGGAAGAACAATGAAGGACTCACAAGAGGGAAGGTCATGTTCCATGTGGTTCAATAGTGAGGAAGTGAAGAGTGAGGAGGTGTGGCTGGGGTCCCAGTGTGCCTTTGAGAGACTGTAGGCCTTGACACATGCTGCCTGAATTTCTCCCCTCAGCCCCACCCCAGCCCTGTGATGCCTACCTACCGAAGGGTGTGGTCCCAACCCGAGTCACCATGGTAACCTCAAAGCCTAGCTCTTGATGGGTTGTATATTACAGAAGAGGGGCTGGGTAAATGTTCCCTGAATGGATGAACGAACGAATGAATGAATGAATGCCAAGTGATTATAGGGCTAGCATATGGCCAGACCTGAGGACAGACACTCTACCTTATACCACGTTTGTCCCCATAGAGCTTCACAGTGAAGCAAACACTTCATTGGAAGGACTATCTCACCCAACATTTGTTTTTAATGTTTATTTCTTTTTTAGAGAGAGAACATGAGCAAGGAAGGGGGGGGTGGGGACAGAGGATCTAAAGTAGGCTCTGCACTGACAGTGGCGAGCCCGTTGTAAGGCTCAAACTCACAAGATCATGAGATCTTGAACTGCGAGATCATGACCTGAGCCAAAGTCAGATGCTCAACTGACTGAGCCACCCAGGCTCCCCTCACTCAACATTTTAAAAATCCTTTCCCTTCATTCCTTCTCCTTGCTCATCCGAGGCCCTAGACTTTAGCCCTTCGAGGCACTAGTGATGTCCTGCTTCCTTCCGGGAGAATCTGCGTTCTTCAGAAAGGATAACAGACAAGTGACTCATGAAGAGCAACCACAGGAGTAAAAATGGGGCCATCTCGGTCATCCATGACAGGGGCAAGGGAGGTGACACTTTTGTTTCCTGGCCCTCAAATATCCCTCTGCATTCGCAGACAGCGCCTTCCACCCTGGGGTAGAACTGGCCCTCCAATTTTACTTAAAGTAAATTAAATACAATCAGTTTTCATAATTGCGTGACACAGAAATGCCCCGATGGCCACCTCGCCCTGGGCACCTTGCCATCATTGGGCCTTTGGTGCGCCATTGTCCCAGGTTTCCTCCTCCGGCTAACAGGCTTCCGCCTGGGAGTCTGTTAGCCCTTGCACGTGTTTGTTGTGTTACAGGCATTTGGAAAGGGGTTGCCACCCCCTAGCATGACTGTCTGCTGGAATGTGGGTGCTGTTCTTAGACAGCATTTCCCACTTTCCTGGGTGACATGACTATCTTACTAGGCACTGGAGGTGGGCGCTCCAAAAAATGCACTTGCACAGAATGAGGGGGTGTCTGTTTGCCTTAGCGATCTGACCATTGTGGTTTTCCTACAGAGCTAAGCACACAGTGCAACCTCAAAAAAAAAAAAAAAATTCATTTTTGGGAAAAGAAAAAAAAGATATAAAATGCAGAAGAAGAACTATCTATTTAAAGTAATCACGTGGTGAATTGTTGCAAAGTGGTAAATCCTTTTTTATAGCAACTCATCTTTTTTTTTTTTTTAAGAGAGAGAGAGAGCTCACGAGCAGGGGGGAAAGGGCAGAGGGAGAGGGATATCAAGCAGGCTCCATGCTTCAGCACAGAGCCCGACATGGTGCTCTATCCCATGACCCTGGGATCATGAACTGAGTTGAAATCAAGAGACAGATGCTGAACCGACTGAGCGGCCCAGGTGCCCCCTCTAGAGCAAATCATCTTAATTGAGTTTTCAGGATGTGGATTTGTTAAAGATTTGAAGCAAACTGCATCCTTCCAGATTCACTTTTCCTACGTGCTCCCTGAAGTCAAGGGACTAACATCTCCTAAAAGTGGCAATCAGTTACACAACCCTTGTTATACCCGCAGCATTAGGGAAGGGAATGAATCTAATCCCTTTACCTAAAGAAAGTCAGAATTTCTGCCACTAAAGGAATACAAATGATGGTGTTGGCAAACAAAACGATCTATGCTCCACATTTCACAGTTAGTAAGTCAGTCCTTCATTCTTTTCTCATTTTTGCCAGGAAAATTGAGTTCAGCAAGACTGCTTTTTTCTTATAATGCTAACTGATGAAACTGCCTTCAAAATGCAACCCATCATCATGAACATAAGTCCCTAAGAAGGAATTGCAAGAGATGGCCTCTCTCCCCGCACAGCCAAGGAGGGAAAGGTGCCACTCTACATCAGAAAACCAACTCAAAGAATCAGATCTGATAAGGTGTTAGGATAAAAAGTTTTACAAGAATATAAATCTTGTTCTCCAGGGGAGGGTGTAGACTTGAGTATCCATCACTGTTCTCAACTGGACTTAGAAAAAAAATCTGTCCCTGGATGAATTCACTCAACAAAGGGATCTGGTAAGATTCCTAAGGGTTTAGAAGTGGTTGTCATGTCCTATAAAAGAAGGAGGAGGAGGAGGAGGAGGAGGAGGAGGAGGAGGAGGAGGAGGAGGAGGAGAAGAAGAAGAAGAAGAAGAAGAAGAAGAAGAAGAAGAAGAAGAAGAAGAAGAAGAAGGAGAAGGAGAAGGAGAAGGAGAAGGAGAAGGAGAAGGAGAAGGAGAAGGAGAAGGAGAAAGGAGAAGAGAAGAGAAGAGAAAAAGAAAAAGGTAAGGAAAGGAAAGGAAGGAAAGGAAAGGAAAGAGGAAAGGAAAGGAAAGGAAAGGAAAGGAAAGGAAAGGAAAGGAAAGGAAAGGAAAGGAAAGGAAAGGAAAGGAAAGGAAAGGAAGAAGAAAGATAAATCTTCCAGGGCACCTGGATGACTCAATCAGTATTCAAGCAGTGGGACGTGGGATTTTGATTGGCCAAGACTGGGGTAGAGAAGTAGATTTGTGGGAGGGAATGATATGAGATGTTGGTTACATTTCAGCAAAGTGGAACGAGCCAGAGAGTTCCCAGAATCAGGTATATTACACTTACATGTATGTGTATTTTTTTTGGTGGGGTAGACTGTGGATGTGACAGTGTTATTTCTTCTGAGAATTCCTGAGGGGTCCTGAGAATTGAGCCAGCAGCACAATTTGTGTCTGACTAATCAGGATCTCAATGACACCCCGTAAGGCAACCAAAATTCAATATTTGACTCTACAGGGTGAGACTGAACTTAAACACTTACAAGTTTTCATTGAGATGTTACTTTTTTTAAATACGAGTGACTTTTAGTGATGAGTGATGATTGTTTTTCCCATCCCTCATTCCTCTCTCTCCCTCCCAACTGTTCATCCCTGATGAGAGAAATCTTTGCTAACATGAAGCAAAGTGACAGGGACTTAATGATAAATATTTGTTTGTCTTGTTTCACACTGAAGACTGATCCTTCAGGATCCAAAGGGGAAGTTCAGGTTGGACAAGGAGGACCTCTTGGGGAGACAGATGTCAGGGAGCACGTCTCCAGGATGCCCACCCACTTTGGATTTTAAACAACCCAAAGGACCATTCAATAGAGAAACAGTGCTTAGCCCGGTTAATTTCAATACCTGAGTCTTTCAGATTATGTTATAAAGCCCACAGGCTCTTAGGTTTCGTTTTTTCCTGTCATGCAAGTGGGAGAAGAGGAAATGGGAATGGCTTTGTAGGTGATCTGATAGAGAAACCAACAGAAGAGCATAGAAATACAGTGATGTCAGTTTCTAGATAACAGTTCATTCTCAAGTGAGCAAACCAGTCAGAATTACAGGTGTCTGTAAGGGCTTTTTTTAATGTTTATTTTGAGAGAGAGAGAGAGAGAGAAAGAAAGAGAGAGTGAATCCCAAGCAGGCTCTGTGCTGTCAGTGCTGAGCCTCACTTGGGGCTCGAACTCATGAACTGTGAGATCATGACCTGAGCAGAAATCAAGAGTCAGATGCGTAATCGACTGAGCCACCCAGATGCCCCAATACACAGCCATTAAAAGTGATGCTGTGGAAGAATAGTTAATTACAAGGAGGAAAATTCATGATGTATTTGTTAAGTGAAAATAGCAGTTACAAAATAACAAGTGTTATATACCTATTTTTGAAAGGCATATGTTCTTTAAAAATTTTTTAAATGTTTATTTATTTTATATATAGAGAGAGAGATAAAGCCTGAGTGGCAGAGAGAGAGGGAGACACAGAACCCAAGGCAGGCTCCAGGCTCTAAGCCATCAGCACAGAGCCCAACACAGGGCTCAAACCCATGAACTGTGAGATTATGACCTGAGCTGAAGTCACACACTTAAATGACTAAGCCACCCAGGTGCCCCTTCTTTTATTTAAAAAAAAAAAAAAAAAAAGATTGGACAGACAGGTACCTGGATGGTTCAGTCGGTGAAGCATCCAACTCTTGATTTTGTTTCAGGTCATGATCTCATGATTGTGAGTTTGAGCCCCAAGTTTGGGCTCTGTGCTAAGTGTGAAGCTTACTTAGAAAAAAACAAAATTGGGGGCAGATATGGTCATCTCTTAGTGGTTTATTTCCTTTCCGTACTTCTCAGCATTTCACACTTTACTTTTACAATTGAACAAATGTAATAACTAAACATCCCATTTGCTATTGGTTGAATTGTGCCCTTACCCAAATTAATATGTTGAAGTCCTAATCTCTAGTACTTCAGAATGGATTTAGAAACAGGACCTTTAAAAAGGGGATTAAGGTCAGGGCACCTGGGTGGCTCAGTTGGTTAAGCATCTGACTTTGGCTCAGGTGGTGATCTCACAGTTCATGGGTTTGGGTCCCACATCGGGCTCTGTGCTGATGGCTCAGTGCCTGGAGCCTGTTTGGGATTCTGTGTCTCCCCCTCTCTCTGCCCCTCTCCTGCTCACACTCTGTCTCTCCCTCCCTCTCTCTCTCTCTTTCTCTCTCTCTCTCAAAGATAAATATACTTTAAAAAATTTTTAAGAGGGAATTAAAGTCAAATTAGGTCCCAATCCAATCCTAATCCATCATGGCTAGCATCCATCACACGATGAATAGGTGAGGACACAGACCACACAGAGAGACAACCATGTGAGAGAGGCAGCCACCTGCCAGCTGAAGAGGGAGGTGTCAGAAGAAACTGACTCAACCCACCCCTGGGTCTCGGAGTCCCAGCCCCCAGCACTGTGAGACACTAAATGTGTGTCAACCACCCGTCTGCGGTATTTGGTTATGGTTCCTCAAGCCAACTAACTTAACAC